GGCGCACGTACGGCATGGCCGCACCGAGCGCGAGTCCCCACGTCTCGGGCGGCCACGCCGCGTCGCCCACCGGCACAACAAAGCGGTGGGTGATGCGCGAGTGGCCATGCAGGCGGATGTACGTCGTGAGGGCGGCGAGCTTGATGCGCCACGCCGACGACCGCGGGTCCCAGTCAAAGTCCGTGTGCGCGAGCGCAGCCTTGTCGTCTTCGTTCACTTCGTGCTTGCGCGAGCGCATGTAGTTGACGTTCTGTCCGAGCTTGAGGCCGTGCATGGCCGTCGGCCAAGCCGCGTCGTATGGCACGACATAGGCCTTGTCAATGGCCGTGTGACCGTAGAGAGCGTAATGGTGTACGACAGCGTCGACCTTGAGGCGCCACGCGTGCTCGGGATGGTCCCACACAAAACCAATCGCATCGAGATCGTCGCGCCTGTCGGCCGAGATGGCCCGCCTTCGAAGATTGTCGACCGTGTACCCGAGCTGCATGCCCCATACGTCTCGCGGGAACGGTGCGCTATGCGGAATCACGTACTGGCCCGGCACGAGGAGGTGGCCATGCAGCGCCTTGAAGGTCTCGAGCGCCGTTAGCGTCAGTGTCCACCGATGCGCCCACGGGTTCCAGACGAAGCGAATGTCGTCCATGGCCGCAACAATGTCGGCAGCCAAGTGCTTGCGCCGGTACGCCACGCGAAAGTGGCTAAAGTAGAGCTCGCGCCCGCGGGCCTCGATCGGCCACGGCGCTTCGGATGGCACGAGGAAGACGCCGCGCGGTGGGCACGTATAGTCGGAGCTCGCGGCCGTGAGCTCGTGCAGCGCGTGGGCCACGTTGGCGTACTGCTCCTGCATCGACAGCGACATCTTGTACGACATGGCGCTGGAGGCGAAGCTCGCCGTCGCGGGTCGGCGCAGCAGCTGCAGCGTCCGGAACATGGGCCAAGAAGAATGTTACGGCTGGCTCCAACATCATCCGGATACCATGGTCATCCGGATACGCTTCTACCGGGTACGTGGCACGACGGCAGCGATGCACGCTGGTCGACGTGAATTCCAAGCCAGTGGTCGAGGAGTGTACGAGAATCAATCTTTGTACCCACCCACACACAGAAAGGACTTTAGACGTAGCCAACGATGGTGCAGATCTAACAATCTAAAGCTTCTCCTTGAAGGCGTCGAACGCTTGGTTGATGAGCGTAAAGACGTCTCTCGCAGCGACGAGCTGCGCAAGGCTACCGTTGTTGCGCAGCTTGTCCGGGTGAATGACTCGAATGACGAAGCGGTAGGCCTTCTTGACGCTGTCGCCGCCGTCGATCTCGGGCGGCGAGATCGCGCCGAGAGGACCGGCGTCCAGACCAAGACCGTTGAGCACATCGAGCTGGTACAGCGTCGAGAGCAGCGCAATGAGAGACTTGCCCCGCGCCCACGCATTGATGGTCGCGTGAATGTCGCGCTTGATACGGTCCGTCTCCTCGGCTTGCTCTCGCTTCAATCGCTCTGCGCCCATAACCAGTGAATCCCCCAGACGACGCGCGCACATGCCTACCGGCTTCGTGGAGTTCTTGGAGGCGCGCCTGCTGTCGGCGGTACAGCTCGACGTCGGCGTCGGACGGCTCGGGCGGCAACGGAGGCGATACGACCACCTAAGACACGATGACCTTTCTCTTTTCAACGACGTTTGAGGTACCGGCGGTGTCGGGTCGACGGGCACCGGTACGGGTGGTGGCGGGGGCACGATGCCGGTGCTCGATGCTGGCGGGCTCGCCGGCACCACGGTCGGTGTCGGGGCAACGCCAGCAGGTTTTTGTAAATGCTTCATGCTCGACGGTCGCTGGCGGGAGATCTAAACGCAGGCAGAGGCGATACAGGATGCTGACGATTTATGGGGTCAAGAAGTACGCGCGTGAACTGGGCGCCAGTGACCGATGGCTTCTTTTGCTTGCGTTTCTTCTTGCTTTCCTTGGCCTCCTGCGCGAGCTGGGCCCATTCTTGCTCGTACACTTCTTGCCACCGGTTCTTTTCCTAGTCCGCAGTGTGTTGTTGAGAGACGCCGTCCGGGACCCTGTCTGTACCTGGGCCTCGAGCGCTTCCTTCTCCCGCTTCTGCGCCTCTTTCTTGGCGCGCTGCTCCATGTACATGTTCATGCGCGACACTGTCGGAGGCACCTTGGGCTCATGTGCGCTCGATGGCTTGGGCTCCGTGTGGCTGTGCCGGGTTGAGGCCGGGTGAGCCAGATCGTCATCGTCATCGTCATTGTCCAGAGCGTCCGCGTCGTCTTCCGCGTCGTCGGTCGAGTGCATCTCGACCACGGGCGGCGATGGGCGAGCGTCTCGCGGCAAGGGCGGGGGCATGGGCAATGGTCCTCTGTCACTGTCACTGTCGCTCGCGTCATCGTCGTCGTCATCGTCGTCACTGCTGCCAAGGAGGCTGTCACTGGATTCGTCGTCGTCGTCCTCGGACTGGACGTGCACAGTAAACATTTGGGGCCGTGCTGTCGTGACAGGCGCGGGTGCGACGGCCTCTTCCTTCGGCTTTGCCTTGGACCAGAGTTTGCCGAGTAGAGAGGATGCGGACGCGGACTTGGTCGTTGGCGACATGGGCACCGGGAGGGGCGTAAAGTGGGCCTTGGCTTTCCATTCTTCGATCTGACGCAAGAGCGACGCGCGCTCGAGGAGCCACGTCTGCTCGTCGCGCCCGCGAAGGGACTTTTCTTCGAGCACCTGCGCCGTCAGTGTCGCGACCTGCGCCTGGAGCGACTGGACGAGGTCTTTGGCGTTTTGGAGCTGCCGATTCCGCTTCTCGATCTTCGCGTTGGCACTGCCAAGCTGCAAGCTGAGCTGTGCGACATCTGCCTTGAAGGCATTGGCGAGCGTCGTCGCTTCGACCACCTGCGTCTGCAACGTCTCGAGATGCGCTTTCTTGCGAAGCTGTCGCTCCTTGATGGACTGCTGCAACTGCTCGAGGGGCAGCCCGTCGTCGCCGTTCTCGTCGTCGTGGTCATCGAAGAGACCTTTGCGGCTGTCGCTGCCACCTTTGCTGTCGCGGCCCTTGTCGCTGCGCGTGAGGCCGCGCTCGGCGTCCTCGTCCGAGCTGTCGAAGAGGCTGTTGCGGTTGCTCTTCCGGCGGCGCAACGGAGCGCTCTCTACGCCAAGCCGCATGAGCCATCGTCATCGCCGGTCGATGCCACGAGGTAGCGTACTCGTCGGGTCCATTGTCGTGCGCCGGCCCTCGCGTCAATGATCCCGTATCTCGGACTGCACAATCGGGCATCGGCATCGGGCATGTCCTAATGTAAATTTAATCGGTTGACACCTTTTATCTCGATATTGGTATGTACTATTATTCCCTGCTACATCCCCCGAGATCTGAATACACCCAACTTACAGCATAAATACGATGATCATATCATAAACCTCCACCTCAAAGTACGGTGCGATTAGACCACACACAGAGTGATGATCGTTTTACCAGGACCTGGTCCTGGTTGCAGAGCCTTGTTTCAGGACATGGACCTGGTTTGCATTTGTAGCGATGGCACCACGCTGTCTTGTGCACCGGCTCGGCGTGGTCGGGTACCGCCAAGCCTGGGCGTGGCAGCAGCAGCTGCTCAAGGAGCGCTTCCGCGCCGCCGAGGCGCCAATGGACGTCTGCCTCATGCTGCAGCACCCGCCCGTATATACGCTCGGGCGCGGCG